TAACTGCTTAGTTAGTTTAGTTAATTGTCTTAACTTAATTGTCCTGTCCTGTGTTTGTCCTATGCTTTGGTGGTGGCAGAGAATAAGTTCAAATAACTTGAGAGTGACGTCGTCATGTCTTGTCATGAAATGTTGGAATAAAAAAAAACTCAAAGAAACTCAATGCTTGTGAATCTCTATTTGTCCTGCTACAGGCTCCGTAACATACCTGAGGATGATCAGAGGATCACTCACGACAATAACTGTGTGGTGACTGGACACGAGGCAGGTTTCATCAAGCTGTGGAACCTGAACACGGGCCAGTTTATACGGCAGCTGGACCAGGCTACAGGTGGCATCAGGTGCTTCTGGATCACACGTGGCGACAGGTGTGCAGCTGTCAGAATTACTTTCACTACGTTGTTTACATTTTTTTCATCCATTCCATACTGGCGAAGCAGGATGCTTATTAAAATAGCTACTAGTACTAGTGCAATGCGGCTTCGCGTATGTAGAGGTTTGGTTTTTCCTTTAATACCCACGATCATGATAATGATCATTCTGGCATGTAACTCATGAACACCTGAGTGAAGGGAGGAAAGTCGTGTAAAGTGCCTTTCCCAAGGGCACAAGGATGGTGAAATGACAGGATTCGAGCCCGGGAACTTGGTTCTGAGCCGAGCATTCTGCCGTTGAGCCACCCGACCCCATTATACAGCCTTGTTTCAAATGTCAAATACAAAAAAATACTTTATACTTCACATCCCAGCATTACCATCAACAATTATGAATATTTATTTTCTGTCATAAAGGTACCTGGTTGCAGTCACAGACAACAACTCCGTGTCATCCTGGGACATTGTCTCGGTGACGATTTTCTGGACCCACAAACCGTACTGTGAGGGGAGAATCACCTGCGTCACCATGACAGACTATCGGAAATACACCACAATCGGCACGGATATGAAGGAAACCCTTGTCCTCAAGCAGGACAAAATTCTCCACGTTCTAGTGGGCCATCAGAGCCCGCTGACGTGTCTGAGTGTCAGCCATTACCAGAAGCTGTTGGCATCAGGGTCGGCGGGAGAGATCATGCGGGTGTGGGAGTTAGACACGGGCAGACTGGTGCACGAACTGTACGCCAAGACTCCCGTCTTCAAAGGGATCGTTTGTCTGTCGTTTAGTTACGACGACGAATACCTGCTGACCGGGGGCCACGACAGGTCACTCAAGATGTGGGACCTCCAAACAGGTGGGAGTTTACGTTGTATAACTAGGTTAAAACTTATTTTTATCTTACAACATGTGCAGTCAGTTTGGATTCTTAGAGTTCAGTACATCTTCATTTTCCAGTGTTCATGTACAATGAAAAACAGTCGCATGCTTTGATTCTACTATTCAACTGCCTTTTTTTAATATCTCGTTTTTATGCAATGGCAATGTATTAAAAAAACAGTTTTAATGATTGTTGCGTACACGTCCTCGTCAATATCTTTCTTGAAACCATTTTGGTAGATAGCTGTTATCAAACACAATAAAGATTTTAAAGACATATTTTTTTAATAATTACATATCGTTTTTACATAACCAAGGAAATAATGCCTGACTTTGTAAAGATACTATCTATATCAGTCTTGCATAAAGACTTTCATATTGTTACAGGAAACATGTTGACTGCCCAGTACGTGTACGCTACAATCACCAATATATCGTGGCGAATCGCGACAATGTCGTCCTGACCACCAAATTTGGCTACGTCATTGTGGATGACATCCTGCTTCCCGGGACGTGCCCACTTCCAATGGAGGGGGGTGCAGGACCTCACGGAAAAGATCACAGTGCGAACTCAAATGGCAAGCACAACAAGAAGATGAAGAAGAAAAGTTGTTTCCGTTGTCAGATTCTGTAGAATTTCAAAGGAACGGTGCTCAATCAACATTGTACATATATCTTTGTTTTTCAACCTGCCTTTTAACCCCAGAATTACAGGTTGATTCAAAACTATGTCAGTGAATAAATAGCATATGGCTTTTTCATCTCAGAACAAGAGAAATGTGACAATGGCTGTATATTCAGGAGGGCCTGCAAGGGGGGGGGGGGAGCCGCGTACACTATACGACATCCAGTAGATTTCTAGCGGGAACCAATCATAGGGCTGCTGACAGGTCACCGACTAGCGGCTATTAGCACCTTGTTTCGTGTAAATGCCATAAACTCAACCAGAGCGCGTAATTGTTTCTTGTTTACATCAGTACTAAGTACTAGTACTTTCACAATCAGTTTGTAAAATCATACGTTAGTAAAATCTACCTAATGAACAAATCGAAACGGGACTGTAGACATGAAGTTTTACACATTCAAATGAGTCTGCACCAGCGCTAATGGAGCGACCACTACGGGAAGGAACGGATCTTAACGAAGCCGAGATTTGTGAAGCAAACGCAACCCATCGAAGACGGGCCGCCAAACACAAAAATGGAGGAAAATGACAGACAACAAGACATTATCTATCATTGCCATCTCTGTGAATTCCTTAAAATATCTACTGTTAGTTTGTGTAACATTACGTAGTGCTACAATCTGCGTAAAAAGTGGGCTTCATTGCGTGTTATCTGGTAAGTCGTGATGGTATTGAAAACTGTTTTGTTGTGCCGTTGTTCTACAAACAGCCAGCAGAAGTATGAAGATACCTCTGAGTGAGTGAGTGAGTGAGTGAGTGAGTGAGTTGTTCTACAAACAGCCAGCAGAATTATGAAGATACCTCAATACACATGCTACAAACTAAAGAAATGGCAGTCCTACGAAAATTCTCTTGTTTAATGTATAAGCGATTCTTCCTATAACGACGAACAATGGGTGTGAAGTACGTGTTTTCGCACATCTTGTGCCACCGGATCGGTGGTAATTGGCTACGTACTCTACACGTGAAGGAACCGGGTCCGTGGGCCTTGATAAAATATTCATAAGTCGGTCGCCGCTAGAAATCTACTGGATGGCATTCAGTGACGAGCGGGTCCCGACAACGCTCTACCCTGAATTCGGACACCTCTTGATTACGCTTTACGATAAATTCCAAGTGGCTACAACGCATTACGTAGAATTAAAACGGTGAATACGCAAAATGCAAAGAGCGGTCCGTCTACGCTCTACGTAGAATTAAAACGGTCGATTACGCTCTACGGAAAAGGGCTTGCGGGCCTTAATATTGTTCATCTTATGATGAACAATATTATTAATTGGAAATCGAGGCCTTATGGCCACACCAATTTAATTTCTTGGTTAACGGATTTGCAAATCAAAAATTAAAAATTAAAAATTCAGAATCAACTGCAAAATGCTCATATTTTGCCCTAAACAGTTGCAAACAGTCCTAGTTGTTACAGTTATGCCATTTTTCAATGCAATGGTATCATTAAAAGTTCAAAATTCATTGTTAAAATTTTGAACCAGCCTGGTGTGTTGACTTCATGGCTCCTAGCGTACCATTTTGGGCCATAATAGGATGGCTTGGCCTGTTTTTATTATTTTTTTCGCCCGCCCGCTCCTTTATTTTTCTAGAAAAATCCGTTAACCAAGAAATTAAATTGGTGTGGCCTAATAATGCAATGACAGTACATGTTGTACCAAAGTAATTGCTAAATCTAGCACTACTGCAACTACATCATTACATAATTATGTAGGTGGTATTCTCATTACCTTCATTGCATGCATTTGGAAAGATATTTATATAAACCTTGGAAACGTTCTAAGCTTTGAATAAGAACGGATGTGTCTCAATTTCCCCTCATACCTTCGCCAAATGTTAGTCTTCATTACTGACAATTTGTAGATTATTCCCCGATTGTGCAAATAGGATCCTCATTTTCATGAATTATATCAATTTATCATATTCTCAACCAAAAGACAGTCATGTATTAACAAACAATGCCATTCTAGCATTTCCTCATAAATTATTGAAATGACGTCCTGATTTGAATACATCATGTTTACTGAACTTTCAAATTATGAAGTATGAAATTCCAGGCAGTTATCATTACATAGTTATAAATTTTTCTCATTGATTATGCAAATTAAGTCTTCATTTACATAATCAATATCTGCCTGTTTATCTCTCGTTCTCAACTACCAATGTCACAAGCTTCAATAGTCCTATCATGGAATGCAGCTGATTTATAGAATATCCCCATAAATTATGCAAATTACATCCAGATTTGCATAATTGTCAGATAATTATATCAATCATTACGTAAGCTACCTACATAACAAAAATCACGACGATCCGTCAACCGGTTCTTGAGTTATCCTCTTTCGGATATTTTCAAACAGATAGCCCTGCAGTTCCAGAGCAAGCCGCTAGGGGGCCCAAACTCACGACACTTCTTTCCCAGCAAAAGAGCTACCTACCATCCAAATTTCGTCACCCTAGCATGTCTAGATCATGAGATATCAAAACCGAAAGTTCAGCTGCAGTACCATAAAAAGCCGCCTGGGGGTCCAAAATCTAATCATTTCCAGGTCTCATCAAGACCTACCCACCTACCAAGTATCAAGACAATCCATTTAAGCCTTCTCAAGTTATCGTGTCCCGTATTGAAGGTACTAAACAAGAGCTCTGGGAAGTGTTTATCATTATGAACAAACATAAACTGGATCGTCTTTCATCAGTTTCTATTACATTTTGTACTTATTGCACTTGTTTCAAAATCCACTAAACGGTGATCAAGCTCTAACCCTCGCGGTAACCTACATTCAACATCTGTATTTCTTACTTCACCATTTTATAATAATATGTCAGTCAGTCTCTAGAGACTATGACTAGCTGCGCAGGAAAAATGGGGAAAATATTGAATAGACACAAAGAATTAAAGCATTTTCCCATTAATCATACAAATCAGGTTTTCATTTACATATAGTTAACATAGGCAAGGCTCATCAACACCATCTTCATCCCAACCTTAACCTACCAGTGCCAGACGTGGACTCTGAACAAAGCCCAGCAGAGGAAACTCACCACATGTGAAATGAGATGCCTCAGAAGAGCAGTGGGGAAAACTAGAAGAGACAAGATCAGAAACGAGGTGATCAGGGAGATGGTTGGCTCCACCAATGTACTCAGGTACATTGAGCACCAGCACATCAAGTGGTTTGGCCACCTCGTCAGACTGCCACCCTCACAACCAGCCCACAGAGCCTACAACATCCAAGGGTCAGGACGGAGGGCCAGAGGGAGACCCCGCCGCCGCTGGATAGACGGTGTGACGGAGACCCTGAGCGCCCATGGCCTGACACCGCAGCAAGCCACTCGACTTGCCCAGAACCGCCTTCTCTACCTCCCCGCGACGCCCCCATAGAGGTAGAAGCGGCCGGATAAAGTAAAGTAAGTAAGTAAGTAACATCGTGTGGGATCGTGTGGCGCAACGGTAGCGTGCGCGACTCGGAATCAAGAGGTCCCGGGCTCGACTCCTGACATGCCACCGATCTTGTGCCCTTGGGAAAGGCACTTTACACGACTTTCCCCACTAGACTCAAGTGAAAATGAATATTTTCTGTCCAGTGTTTGTTTCTATGTGTGGGACACAACACCAGCAACAGCTGCCTCTGTTCCGCGTGTATTGCACTGTTGCAATTTCAATAAATCAAATCAAATCTGATTATGTTCCTCTCATCGCAATCACATGTATCACTGGGTTTAATAGTCTTGGAACGAAAAAAAATGTCAAAAGTTAACATACATCACGATGCATATATCATGTTAATGCATGTTTATGTCATTTGCATAATCAAAGAAGAAATTTACATTTACATATGAAGCCCATATTTCCTGGAGATATGAAGTCTCGGAACTCATACCATTTTGAATGAATTATTTTTAAGTAAAATTTCCTTATTTGTTTGTTTAGTCATACTGGGTGGTACGGCACTGTACAAGGGTGACCACAGGTGTGACGGAGATCTCGCACCCCCTGATTTTGCACCCCCCCGGGGCGAGATCACTAGCGATCTCGAACCCCCGGGGCGAAATCGCTAGCGATCTCGCACCCCCAAGCTAGTGTTTTCGCACCCCCCAAACTAGTGTTTTCGCACCCCCCGGTGATCTCGCACCCCCCGCCAAACATTTTGAAAATTGTTCTGTCTGCCCGGTATATAGTTATGGGTTCACCACAAAGTGGTGAAACCATATTGCTTTTTCTCATGATTCTCCTCCTTCTTCTCCTCCTGCCATTTCTTTAAATGGATTCAGCTTCTTCATTTGGGGGCCTAAGGACCTGAAATTTGGTATGGAGGTACAGTAGGCAAATACCCCCAGGCGTTTTTTTAATTTTTGTGATACAGGCTTTTAGAATGGTTTTATTTGAGTTTTTTGGCTGTATTATAGCAAATGTATTACTGAGTTAGTGTGCAGTGTTACCAGATTTGGGCATGAGTCATCACAATGGAATGCAGGGCATCAACCAATAGGCATGCAGCTTTCCTCTATTCTCCTTGCTGATTGGCTGTTGGAATTTAACAGGCTTAACTTAATTAATACCTGCACAGAGCCATTCCATACTGACAGTAGGTCTGTATTCAAGTGTTTTGGTAGGTATTTTAAGCTTTCCTGCTCCAGCATTGGAATGCGGGGCATGAACGCTTCTTTTTTCTTGAAATCAACAGTTTGCATTATGCAATTAAAAATCCTAACCAATAATGTAGGGAATAGCTATCCAACTGTTGTAGTCTTAGTTGTATGTTACTTCATACTATAGTTATATCAATGTAAAGCATTGTTTTCCCTTGTGTTTCTCATTCTTTCCCTGCCATGTCGTAAAATGTGGTGAAGCCATTGCTGTATTTGCTCCAAAGCAAATGTCGGCCTTTCTAGTTGAAACTGCATTTTAGTGTGATAAAACCATACTTTAATGTTGTAATCGAGAGTTTTTCAAGTTTCCCTGGACTAATGTGACGTATTTCAGCACAGCGCAATAATGGTGACTGTGCCCAATGATTGGTTGCAATAGTGTCCCTTAGTTCCAAGAAGAATGTGTGATTAATTCAACGTTATGTCATTCTTCATTATTGATTTTTTAAAAATCATTTTTAAGACATGACCAATATTTCTCTGCTTTAGCAACCACAACATTTTAATCTGGTAAGCTGATCTATGTCATAGATCAAGTGTAATAGATTGACATTCCTGAGGAAGAAATGACGTTTTGGTTGAAATATGCGCCTAGAAATATGGAGACAGTCAATTCGTAAATACTAACCCCCCTGTACACACCCTGAAGTTTCCCATTGACAATACATAGGCCTATTTAAGGTTATTATCAGGATGGGAGATTTTAGTAACAGCTTTGTCAAATATGCATTCTAAAATATGGAGATGGCCTACCTAAACCCAGAAATCACAAAAGTTTGACAATTGTTGAGTTCTACCCCCCTGTACATACCCACTGAATTATTACCATTGATAAAGCATTCGCCTGTTATAAAGCCATGCTAGCAACAAACCTGTTTCCCTGTTGCCATGGCAACACAGACTATTAAGCTAAAACGTGACAAAATGTGTCTTGAAGGGTGTTGGACTATGTCATTACACACACCGTGCAAAAGAACCAAGGGGATGCTGACATTGCTCACTAAGTTACACCTACATGTAGACATAGTAAAAGTGGCCTATGGGGGGGGGGCAAAAGTTCAAGCATTGTCAGCATCCCCATGGTTCTCTCTGCACGGTGTGTGTAATGACATAGTCCAACACCCTTCAAGACACATTTCAGTCAAGTTTTAGCTCAATATTCTGTGTTGCCATGGCAACAGGGAAACAGGTTTGTTGCTACCATGGCTTTATAATAGGCGAATGCTTTATCAATGGTAAAAATTCAGTGGGTATGTACAGGGGGGGTAGAGCTCAACAATTATCGAACTTTTGTGATTTCTGTGTTTAGGTAGACCATCTCTATATTTTAGAATACATATTTGTAACCACTGTGAATTACGAAGGCCGTAACAGAACACATACGGGGTGAACAAATCGATTGAGGGGGTGCAAAATCGCTAGCGATTTTGCACCCCCCGGGGGTGCAAGATCACCAAAGGGGTGCGAGATCACTAGTGATATCGTTCCGGGGGTGCGAGATCGCTAGTGATTTCGCTCCGGGGGTGCGAAATCACTGGGGGTGCGAGATCTCTGTCACACCGGACAAGACAGTTCAGCTGAACCCATGGGATGAAATGGCTAAAGTGTCCGACACCATCCCCACGCTGTTGTAGAAAAGCATTCTTACCGCTACAATAGCTCAATCAGTAAAGTGCTCGCTTTGTAACCGGAAGGTCGTGAGTTGAAACCCCGACCGGGCCATACCAAATACTTTAAAAAATGGTCCATACTGCTTTTTCTGCTTAGCACTCAGAATCTTTAACTCTACCCTGGATACGTCGTGCATTAAACTTGTTTTCAGTCAATTTTATCTCAGAGATCTATGAGAAAGAGTATAGGAAGGTCAATACACAACACTACCAGCTGGCTAGCCCCCGGCCATACTGCTTGCTCAACGGCTACAGAAATTGAAATTTTTCTTAATTTTTTTTTCTTGCTGTGTTCTAACTCTGCCATGGATACGTCGTGATTTAAACTTGTTTCCAGTCACTTTTATCTCAGAGATGTTTTACACGAATGAACAAATTTCACTGGCTGTTACAAGGTTTGTCTTTAGGCATGGTATAACAACTCAAACCCCGTAAATCATCAGTAGCGTTGTTTGTAACCCTGTCCTTTGTACAGAAATCCGATGAGTGTTGGAAACACCATGCACAATGCCCTCATGTGAGTTAAAAGTTGTTTTGAATGTGTTAAGTTGTTATTATTAAAGACAAAATCAATTTGTTGACGATAAGATAATTTACAAAGCAAAATCTCCTTGTTTAGATTATTTTGGGTGGTACGGCATTGTTCAAGGGTGTTAGGATAAATCCATAAAAATATCCTGAATGCCCTAAATTGACTACACTTTAAAGTAAACTAGAGTTCCATGACCAAATACTTTCGCCAAATGCTATTAACCTTTACGAGTAACGAATTACAAATGTTTCACATTAATTATGCAATCAACATCCTTTATTTGTTTTACAATCTTCTAGGATGCTCAATATTACACCACTTAATCCCAGCCCAAACAGCTTTCGACTTCTCAAAAGCCATTATCGACAATTCCAGGAAGCTCTAACTCCAACTTTGAAGCTCCGCTGAAGTGCCAGAGATATATATACCCGCTAAGAGGCCCATTATTAAACTTGACACCCGTCTGACAGTGTGCTGCCCCCCCCCCCTCCATACACATCTCATGTTGTATACATACAAGATCACACTGTCTACTGCAGCACCACCGGAAGTCAACAGGTGATCTATTTTGGAACTTAACATTCGTTCCCACAGATTTATACTGAGCACATACAAACACAAGTACATGTACACACGACAGTACTGTAGGAAAACAACATACTTTCTTGTCGAGTTGGCCTGGGATTGAACTCACAATCTACCAAAAGCGAGATGATTCACCACTCTACTCACTTGGCCATTGCACCAATATCATGTCCCACCAAAAACATCAATTATACAATAGCGCGGGCTGACCACAAAATATGATTATTGTTCAGAAACAACATACCAGACAATCTTTTACGATATATAATGTATTACATACAATACAAACAATGGAGCTGATGTAACTTTCCAACATACATTACATGTATTTGGCTGTTTTCCATCAAACCATCAAATGAACTTATCCTAATTCACAAAAATAACGACCTACCAGCGACAACATTTTAGCAGTTAGAAATATTGCTTCACCCAAATCATTTTATTTCATCGAATACTCCATGGAGACTGTCAAGAGCTACATATATACTGGAACTTGTGAAAAACAAGTATTCTCTGTAGTTTTGCATTTTACCTGCTGAGTTTATTACAATTGAAACATGGTTGGTTAAACTACAAATTAAAATTAAAAAAAAAACTCTTGATTTTTGAATTCAGTGCGTTACTAAATCCAACTGATGTGAACCATGTCATTGAACTATAGTATCAGTCATTAGAACACTACTAGTATATGATAGAAGTCGAACATTTTGACTACTTCAGGGTTTGTAGCAGGCTAGGAGTTGGACTTTCAATTCCTTAAATTTATTTTACAAGGAAAACTCACACAGTCAGTATTGACTTCTAAGTTTGACAAAATTGGCTAATGTATATTACAAACATTAGATTGATCCAGCAAAGAACATGAAATACACTGCTCTGTTCTCCTGCCCGCACTGTGAGCGCCGGTTCCGGGCGAAAATTGGACTCTACAGTCACCTGAGGACA